CTTATAAGTTAAAAGATTCTGTTCAAACACAAAAGTTGAATCTTCTATCAATAAATTAACATTTAATAGTCTCTCCGTTGATTTTTCTTTCTTCCATACATACTTCCATTACTTTTATAGGATCAACTGCTAAATTAGACATTTTAAGCGTCAAAAAACTTCGCTTAAATAAACCCAGTCGATATTTGGTCCTAATAAAATGACTCTTAAACGTCTTGTGAACGTTTAAAAGACTTTTTTTAGACCAAATGCCGCTTGGATAGTATAAAAGAAACGATGTAAGCTGAGCAGGGGCGGATCCAGCATTTTTTGGTCGTTGAGATAGCTAACTTCCGGACATGGAGCAAACTCCAAACATTTATATGTTTATACCTATTTCAAATAAGGATGCTGTGCAAAAAATTGCAATGATTGGAGCCTGGGAACAAAAAAGCCCTAAACCTTTAGCTACACCTGCCCCAAACGTGAGAGCAACAAGTTGATAAAATATTTTTTCTACTATTTTTAACCCAGTATATATTCATCGATAAATTTTAAAACTCACACAATAATCTATTAGCGTTCAACAGTTATGGCCTTATAAAATTTGCAACCCCCTCAAATTGAGGGGGATTAAAACTTTTTATTGTCATAGTTTTTGAACGCTAAAAGATTTTTGTGTGTATTTTAAAATTTGTCGATGAATATAGATTTAGTTAAAAATAATATAAAAATTATTTTATCAACTTGTTGCTCTCACGTTTAGGACAGGTGTAGCTAAAAGTTTAGGGCTTTTTTGTTCCCAGGCTCCAATCATTGCAATTTTTTGTAAAGCATCCTTAATTGATATAAGTATAAACATATAAATTTTTGGAGTTTGCTCCATGTCTGGAAGTTAGGTATCTCATACATCAAAAAATGCTACATCCGCCCCTGCTGAGAGATGATGTTTCTGCTAGTGATATGCCACATTTTACTGAAACGTTTGCGGTATGATTAATTGAGAAAAAATTGAGTGATGAGTAAAAAATTTTTTTTACTAAAATCTGCATGACGGTTTCTTTATTATCATTGAAGCTTATCTGGTACTTTAAAATAGATGATTTTTTTCGTTTTCGAAAATAAACCAATAAAATTCAACTTTATGAATCTTTTTTTTTTTGAGATAAGTTCACTCTATATGTGATTGATAAACGCAAAATAATTTTTCAAACAAAACTTTTTTCATAGTAAAACTTCACACTTTCATCATGTCATATCTAATATCTTATTCACTTTATTCACACATGCCTTAGAGGCTTTTCAATCTGCTATATCTTTTTGAAGCTGCCATAGTTAATTTATTATCTTTTTAAGAAATTCATTTTTTTTATTTTTATTTTTTTTATTTTACTAACTTAAACTTCACTACAAAGTACTTTGTAGTGAAGTTTAAGTCAGTTTTAGCAATGTCCTTTACATTGTTCTTTATACTGTACATACTAAAGGCTCAGCGGCGGACTTGTAAACGGCACACACCCTAAGTTTAAAACACGTTTTATCGAAAATGATATTTTACTGACCTAATAAAATTAGTTAATTAAATTAATTAAAGTGTAATTACATCAATTGATCATAATTAATGAATAGAATTAAATGTAAATGCTGTATATAACCATTAGAGATTGACACAACGCAATATACATTCATTAATTGACCGTAAGAATTAGGACAGTTTTGATCACGGTTATTAGTATTTCATAGGGGTGCGTCGTTTACAAGTCCGCCTTTATTACATAGTTGTGTTTTCACTAGTTATTAGTTACGCCTATATTTTTTGAAGCAAATACGTGGATTAACTTAGCAGTCAATTCACGTATTTGCTTCAAAAATATAGGGGATTGACTGCTAAGTCAATCCACGTAAATTTTACATCATCAAATAATATGAATTGAAATACATCTCTAGATTCCTTGTTATATCCGAAACTTCTAAATTCATGATACCCAATACTAGGCATGGGAGAGGAGGGGGTATACCTTCTTTTCCCCAAAGAAAACCATTTTCAAATTATAGTTGTTTTTTTGAGGAATATAGTTGGCTAGTCAGGTGTTTCAACACATTTCAGTTAAACCATTTTTAATTTTGAGGACTTTTTTTTATCTCTTATAAAGCAGTCATTACTATTTAAGAATTTGCCTCTCCCCCCCTCCTTTTTTTCCCCCTTCTCCTCCCTAATTTTATCCCTAGAATCGCACCTGAAACCAGCTACATATTGTTTAACCGTCTGACAATTTTTAGCATTACCTATTTTTTATAGTTAAACACTTCACAGCTTTTTTGCTTAAAATGCTGTTTGGCTAGTCTACTATAACCTATTTTCTAATACCTAAAGCAAAAAACTATAGCCCTGTTTCATTAAGGTCTCTTGTATGAAGAGTAAAGAAGAGTATAATAAGAGATGCTTTGATGGAACATCTCATTAAAAATGAATAAATATATGATTCTCAGCATGGTTTTATTTGGAATAAAAACTGTTATACAAGTTTATTTTGTCTTTAAATTTAATTAGTGTTTAAGTTTAAATACACAGTCTTTGGAACGTAGTTTTTCTATAGATCATCTATAGAATACATTTAAGATGTAGCTTTTTTAGACTTCATCAAAGCTTTTGATACAATTGCACATAAAAGATTGTTAATAAAGTTAAGAGCATAATGTAAAAATTAAGTTTAAATGCAGTGGTTTAAAGCATATTTGAGTAATAGAATTAAAAAAGTTGTTCTTGGGACTTATAAATCATATTAAAAGGAGGTAGCAAGTGAAGTGCCACAAGACTCAATGTTTGGGTTGCTACTGTTTGCTATTTGATATATCACAAGAAATAAAAAATTGATGTAAATTATATGCAGAAGATTTAAAAATGATTTCATTGATTTCTAATAATAGCAACAACTTGCAACATTAAAATAATTTTGCTCTATCTCGACATTCGAGTTTTGAAATAAAACAATTTAAAAAAGAAAGACTTTAGGAGACAGTATATAAAACTTTTTTTTTTATAACTTACGTTTTTTCTGCAACTTTTTTACTTATAACTTAGGTTTCAATACAGTAGAAAAACATTATTCTGAGGTCACAACACTATCAATAACTCAATTTTTTCAAAAAGTGGAGGAAAGAAGTTAACGTTGTGAACTGTGTATGACAAGACAATTTACCTTAGTAGGGCATATTGGGGCATGTTGGCCCGCTTTTTTCTCTTTGATTTGTAACTAATTAGCATTTCAAGTTTTATTTTTTTAATTTTTTTAAATATTGGCAATACTCTAAACAAATACTATCAATAAATAGCATTATTAAAAGTTTATTTTAACACATTTTAAGTTGGTTTTGTTAGGCTGATATCAGTCTGATGGCTGACATGCCCAGCTATCGGGGTAAGTTGACCCAGCACAATTGAACAGGGATTTTTATTATTATTATTTTTTTCATTATTTTTAATTTATGTTTAACTTTTCTTAACTAAATAAAAATAATTCATAACTGAAATTTGAAGTGTGTTCAACCTTAGTATTAAACACTTTAAGTATTAAAAAAAAGGCAAAATTCTCATATATTTAATTCTTATTATTCACCCCAAGTTTGTTTTTTTTATTTTCAAACCAGTTCAAAATACAAAATATTATTATCGGAAATGAAAACAAGCTGTTTAATAAAAAAAAAAATTGTTGAAGATCAGTTTTAATATATGTCCTACGTGCCCCATTTGCACAGGACAAGTATAAATGTTTTTATTCTTAAACCATTAACCAATATTGTTTAACACTGTATAGTAAAATATTCTATCTATAAGATTTATATTTAGAATTTGGATAATGCATTACTGTTGAACCCTAGTGAGCACATTAGTGTCAAACAAACTGTTTAAAATTTACTTTGGTGCATCAAAAATGGTTAAAAAAGCCCTACACTTCTAACTATTATCCAATAAATTAGAAAGATTACTACTAATCTTTTCCTCGATTCCCAGCTCACTAAAGCTCATAGTCTTTGAATAAATTCGACTGGGCCAACCTGGCCTTTGGCTGACCTGCCCCGGTCTAAAATATAGCATTTCAAAAAAAAAAAAAAAGTAAAATTTGACATATCAGAAAAAAAATATTTACTATAATTACTATAAGTCAATTAAAAGCAACAAAAATCATTATAACATGCTAAAAATATCTTTGGAACAAGATTACTTTAGTATTGATTCATACCTAATAGCAAACATAGTTTTAAAAGAAATTTTGAAAATTTCTTTTTTGGGTTCCACCAGGCGTCAATAAGCCTTGTGTTTGCAGTACATATTTTACTTTTAGTGTTTGCAGTAACATATTTTACAAGTGATTTTGTCAATTGAGTCATTGATTTTTGAAGAATGTTTACATTTTTGTATTTATTTTTGTCACTCTGTTAAAAAAGTTTCTTTTATTAAGAAATAAGATTCTACTACTGGTTAATATGATCCCATTTTTAATTAAACATCTCCTTTAACTTGTGATGTGGATGCTATGATTCCCTTCCAAACAGCAAACTAAAACTTATATTTTAACTTTTAATCTTTATAATTAGAAAAAAATGTTATGAATTTAATTAAAAAACAAAAGAGTATTTATAGGAGCTGGAAAGTCAACCCTTTTAAATTTACTTGCTGGCAGGGAAATAAAAGGTATTTACTTAAACACTGGTTTAATCCAGATTAATGGCAAAAAGGCTTCAAAGCTGCTAAGAAGAAAAATAGGCTATGTCATGCAAGAAGATATCTTTTTTTCTCACATAACTGTGCGGCAATGTTTAGAGGTAAATTTTTATTATTATAATAAATGATTTATTCATTTTGAATTTTAGTTAATCAAGGCAGTTTATCACCTCAATGTATTTCAAAAATTTTTAACATTTGTATAAATAATTATTAAACATGTTTTTTTTTTTTTTCATCAGTTTGTAGGAAAAATTAGACTTCCAGAGAATATGAAAGGCAGTGAAAAAAAGGCAGTAGTTGATCAAGTAATTAATGAACTCGGTTTGGATAAGTGTCAAAATACAAGTGAATAATTTATTTAATATATTTTTCTTCAAATTCTTCTTGTTTTTTTATTATAATTTTTTTTTATTTAGTTTTTTAATGTGGCATCCCACCACAAAGACATTTTTAAGGAATGAATTAATTTCTTTAAATTTTTCAAGTTTTTTTTTAAATTATCATTTATATAGGAAAACTCAATTTTAGTTAAAATTTAAAATTTTTAGTAATTTTAAGATTAACTCTCAATATTCATTTAGTATTGGGCTCAGATATATTTGAAGGAGGCTGTTCAGGAGGTAAAAGCTAATTTTTTTTTTTTAATTTAAAATAAGTTAATTCCAATGGAGATTAAATATGGCAATTCAACTTTTGAGATTATATACATCAATTTAAAAGTTGACCCTTTTAGTAAAAAAATTTTAAGCTCAATATATTGTTTTTCAGTATACTTAGAGTTGCCGCTGCACAGAGAGCCAGGTGGTGGACAAAACCTAAAAAATAAATATTTATACCTAAAAAATAATTTTTTTTTTAACAAAAAAGCTTGAAATTTTTATTTTTTATGCATAGCTATAGTAAACAGTAACTTTTAAAATTTTACAAGCTTATGGGATTAGTTTATATATTTAAACTACTAAACAGTAAAGCTTTACGAAAAAAGTATAAAGTAAAGATCAGCCTTTTTATGCACTAATAATCTGGCTTTAAAATAATGAGGTAAATTTTTAACATTTAATACTTTTGTTTTGTACAAAAAGTGACACATAATTTAGAAAACCTACAAGAACCTATATTAAATTCTTGAACTAGTAAATATAATATGTATATAACCTATTTGAACTATATGCATTGTCTCTTTTCCTTTTGGGTTTCATTAACATTTTAAAATAATGACTTGCAACTTATGTTATTTGCCTGAAATCAACTTTTATTTCTCGTAAACAAAAATATATGTTATTTTGTTTGTTATTTAATTCAATGTTTACCTAACAATTTTTTTTTTTTTTTTTTTTTTTTGTATAGTAATAATATAAAAATTGGTCACATTTACTGTCTTATATGACAAAGTAAACTAGTTCCTAATGGTATACCATTCTTTTCATTGAAATTAACTGTTTTAGTTTCTGCACATATTAAACTAGAGGGTTCTGAGTGAAAAACTTTATAAAAATATAATGTAAAAATTTGGTAGCTGTAAACAATTGTAATACTTATTTTGAGAAAAGTAATGAAAATTGGCTAACTCAAGATTTTCAATGCACCTACGATACATTAAATGCTATATTATCAGTTAATGAAGTTGGAAAACCATGTTGCTCTTTTGAAAAAACTTCTAACAAAACAAAAAGAATAAACTTAATAATGTTATTAATATTTTATTTAGCCATAAATTATTTCATGCAGCAAAATTAAAACTATGAAGTGAGTTTAAGTACAAAACTGGCACAAAAATTTCTGAAATTTAAAATAAAAACCCCATTAACCTGCTTAAGTATATTCACCTGATGAAACTTTAGCACTAATTATTAATGGTGATATATCAAAATCAATACACCAGCTTCTAAGAAATGGTGCTGAAAAGATTGGCTGCCACATATCTTTTTTATAATGGTATAAGTTCTTCAAAAGCTAAATGCTATCCCAAGAACATTCAAATAGATGGCTATTCAGTACAAATACCACTAAAAGATCTTCTAAACTACTGTGTAAATCACAATGCTAAGGAATTAAATAAACTGATGTTTAGATGCAAGCCTGGTTTTGATGGTGCTACAGGATATAATGTTTACAAACAGGTAAATTAAAATAATAATAGTAACCAATGAAGACTGCCTGTTGATTATTTGCATAGCAAAACTTTAGAACTAAGTAGACTTTATAATAATAAAAACGTTGTAATGTAATTCATCCAGCCAATAGATTAAAAATAAAAAATAAAAACATTATTATAAATAGAGATGATAAATAATCTACAGACTTATTTAAAACGTCAGGGACATATAATAATATCAATAATAGAGTTTTAAATTTTATATTTTTTATATATTTCTATATATTTATCTATATATTTTAAATCTGTTATAAAATAATATCTATAATTTCAAATCTAGTGATAAATATTTTCTGAAGTACGTACATACGCATTTTTATTTTTAAAGTTTGTTGCATCAATATTTTTTTAAGTTTGTTTCATCAGAAAAGTTTGTTGTTCAGTTCCACTATTTTAAGAAGTTATGGAATTTGAAATTTAAAAGTTATAAATCTAAGTTTTTAAAGTTTGTTAAATAGTTTTTAGTATTAGCAACTATTTAACTAAGGTTTATAATAAAAGTTAAAATAAAAATATTTTAATACTAAGTTTATTTAAAATTTATAATAAAAGTAAATATATTTTAATACTAAGTGATTCTTTAGTCATATAAAGGGTTTTAGTAAAAAAAAAAAAGATCAAAACAATTTTGTCCACCATATTTCTAATATGCGGCCCACTGTGCATTGGTCCAATTGAGGGCTATATATGACAGTGCTCAAAATGTATTTTGAAATGCTTAGAGAATAATCTTTAAAAATTTATTTAAAAACATTTTTTATGTTGTTAGATTTTGATAATCACAATCACAGAAATGAAGAGTGTAGTTAAGATTAAATAATAAGTATCTACTATGTTCAAATACCTATAAATGAGTTTTTAGCTCATAAAAGTATTTTTTTACTTTTAAACACGAAAGTTAAAGTTACAAATTTCCATACAATTTGGTTTTTGAGATTTTAATTTTTTATAAGGATGAATTATTTGAACAGTATGCTTCAAAACTCGGTTGTAGATTCGTTAAGGATTGGTGTAAAAACATGCAAAGTAATGAAACTTTGATGTTTCCCAGCATTCTTTCAATCAGCGCCGTGGCTTCTTGGTCTGAGTCCCCCATCCCCTTCCTCTCATAAAATAAGCCCTGCCATTGGGATTCAAATATCTTAAAAATATTTCCATTAGGTATTACTAAAAAAACAAAGCTCAATACATTTGCAAATGGGTCCCCTAAATTCGCTGGCCCCCACCATCCAAATGGGGAATGTGGGGGAGCCTAGCCATGGCTCTGCCTTTAATATAGTTACATATGGCTCATGTATTTCACTTGATAATGTCAATACTGAAAGGACACTAAGTGTATACTTTTATGATTATCAAAATGGCTGAATCAAATAAACCATGCAACTATAAAATCTATCCTCGTGTTTGTTTTTCTCAAATAAAGTTACAAAACTAAAATCCATTAAATTTTTATAACTTTAAACTGTCTATGTTTGTTTGCTGGCTCAGTACTGCCCTCATTCTTGTAACAACAATCAAAACCATGCAGCTTCATGAGAAATTTCTAAGTGCGCAGATAGATGTTAAAAAGAAATTCTGTGCTCAAAGTTATTTTTGCGTAAGCAAACAATTTCTAAATAGAGCTGGATGTCAATTTTTAAACTTATTAAACCATGAATCACTCTAATAACCTTATTTGAGCTAACATAAATGCCTGATTTTTATACGTTTCTGATAGGTGAGAAAAAACGTTGTAGCATTGGCGTGGAACTCATTAGCAACCCTGCATGCATAATTATGGATGTATGTACTACTAATATTTTTAAAATTATTTTTAATTATATTAATGATGTTTTTTAATATTTTATAATATATATATATATATATATATACATATATATATATATAAATATATATACATATATATATAAATATATATATATATATATATATATATATATATATATATATATATATATATATATATATATATATATATATATATATATATATATATATACTCTTGCATGTCTCTTGCGTGGCATCAAAAAAAATTTCCCATAAACTGTAGTTTTAAAGAGCGCGTTAATAAACCAGACCAGAAAAAGTTTTAAAAATTTAAAAATTAAATTTTTTTTTTTAATTGATAGACTGCCTGGCCAAACCAAACCCTCAGTCGATGTAGCAGCACTCTCTTGCGAGTCAGGCTATTTGTCAGTCGTTGTAGCAGCACTCCCTTGCGAGTCAGGCTATTTGTCAGTCGATGTAGCAGCATTCCCTTGCGAGTCAGGCTATTTGTCAGTCGATGTAGCAGCACTCCGTTGCGAGTCAGGCTATTTGTCAGTCGATGTAGCAGCACTCCGTTGCGAGTCAGGCTATAAGATAGTCGATGTAGCAACATTTACGCATGTTTTAAAAATGTTTTTTATTAAATCAATAACAAAAACACTACTAATTAAAAAAAACTTTCTAGACGTTATAATTGCGGTTTTTTAAAAAATTTTTAAAAAACAATTAAATTTAATGTACTTCCGCATAAATTAATTGCTTTGACATTTCGATGACAATCAAAAACAGCTTAAGAGACGAGGTAATTAAAATTGTAGTCGTAAGAGACTTTTTTTACATTAAAATGCTCTTTCGACTACACTATAAGGGTATATATATATATATATATATATATATATATATATATATATATATATATATATATATATATATATATATATATATATATTTATATATATATTTATATATATATATATATATATATTTAAACAATTTTGAAAAATGTATTCTACAAAATAGAGTGCTCAATGTTCTTAAAAGAACAGAGCAATTATAAATTTATATATATATATATATATATATATATATATATATATATATATATATATATATATATATATATATATATATATATATATATATATATATAACATCCTAGTCGCAAATTTCGGGGACATGTTTTTTTGCTCCCGTTTTGTTTTTGTTTTTTTACTTTTTTATACTATTTTTATCATATTTATATATTTTGTTTAACTTTTATTTTATTTCTAGTTTTATTTATTCATATTACATTTATTATTTTATTATAAAAATATATTTTTTATATTAATTTTTATTATTTTTATTTATTTTATATTATATTTCATTTTTAACTTCATCTATTTACAAAAACTATTATTTAAAATAGTATAACCAAATTTAAACCTTGCCATAACCCTAACAAAAAGCCTGACCTTGATGCCTGGCCTAACCAAACCCTCAGTCGATGAAGCAGCACTTCCTTGCGAGTCAGGCTATTTGATAGTCGATGTATGTACTTTTCGTTCTCTATAAAAGTTTCTTATGGGTCCGTTTTTTTACAAAAAAAATAATGCTTACGGGAACAAAAAGTTAAAGGGTACACTAAAATGTCCCCGATAATGCTAATGTCCCCGTAAGTTTTTTTTTTTTAGTTTTTTTTTTATTTTACTTCACCTCCTCAAGGCCGAGAAGGCCACTACAGACGAGGAGGCTACTTATTTTGTGGCTATAAACCTCTCTCAACTCTATAACTCCGAAACACGAACCTTGACGAACAAGGCCGCTGCGTGGAGAAACGAGTTGAGCGTGGTACTACCAGGGACGTGGTGGGGATCGAACTCGGAACCACTCGTTTATGAAGTGAGCGCTCTACCACTACACCACTACCGCAAAGTGTTCGTTTTTTGTAAGTGTTCGTTTTTTGTAAAATCTATCCCCATAAGTGAAAAACTATAGAAACTTTAAAGAAGACATTGTATTGCATTTTTTTGCTAAACTTTTTTGAATATTATCTTTTAAGTGTTCAGCATGAATACTTGCTTTTTAAACTCAAAGTTTGTAACATGGTGACAATTGCAACGAAGCGAAAGTTTAATACAAAAGCTGTGAAAGTTGAATACAACGCACTTAAGGAAGTATTAGATAACATCTCAAAGTCAAAGATTGCTTTAAAATATAATATATCAAAATATATCTATCTGGTTGAGAAACAAGGAAAAGATTTTTGATGCTGTGGAGAAAGGAAACAACCTAAAATGTCAGTGTACGAGGAAAGGGTCATTTGCAAATTTGGCTCAAGCCATTTTCAAATGGCTTTTGATTGTTCATAGCAGAGATATCACTGTCTCTGCTTTAATTCTTGAAACTAAAGCCATGGAATTTGCTGAAATAATGAACGTTACAAATTTTTATGCTTCAGATGGTTGGTTAGACAGTTGGAAGAAATGATACAACATATCATTTAAAACGGTTTCTGATGAAGCTAATGCGTGTACAAGTAAAATGGTAGCACCATGGGAAGAAACCACGTTATCAACCATTTTATCAAAATATAAGTTGAACCAGATTTATAATGACGATTTATAATTACGAGTTTGGCTTGTTTTATCGGCTCCAACCAAATAAATCTTTACATTTTAAAAATGAAAAATGCGCCGGTGGGAAACACAGCAAACTACGTCTTACAGGATTGGCATCCGCTAATGCATTAAGGGAAAAATTGCCAATGTTTGTTATTGGCAAAGCTAAATCACCCAGACGATTTAAAAATGTAAAGCATTTGCCTTGCTGTTATCGTTGTCAGAAGAAAAGTTAGATGGATGGCACACTATTCAAGGAATGGGTACATGAAATTGATTGCCAGTTTATGAAGGAAGGACTAAAAATTGTTTTATTAGTTGATAATTGCCTAGCTCATCCAATCATTGATAATCTTAAATCAATAGCACTAATCTTTTTACCAACAAACACTACCTTGAAGCTCCAGCCGATGATCTAGAGCGTGATTAGGTAACTTAAAACCCATTATAGAACGTGTATGTAGCTTCTTTCACTGAAATTTTTTCACACTTTTTATTACTATAATAGTGTGTATTTAAAAATTGCTATAACTCGAACTAATATCTTATTTCTGTCAAAGTTCAATTTAACAGGACTTCGCTTAAGTTGAACATTTGTTAAGTCGAAGCATTTTCTTCGGTCCCTTGGAGGTTTGAGTTATCCAAAATTAATTAAATATATATATATATATATATATATATATGTATATATATATATATATATATATATATATATATATATATATATATATATATATATATATATATATATATATATACATATATATATATACATATATATATATATATATATATCTACATATATATATATATATATGTATAAATATATATATATATATATATATATATATATATATATATATATATATTTATGTATTAACATATATATATTTATGTATAAATGTATATATATATATTTATGTATAAATATATATATATATATATATATATATATATATATATATATGTATATATATATATATATATATATATATATATATATATATATATATATATATATATATATATATATATATATATATATATATATATATGTACGTTGATAACAAAAATTTATGTGACATTCTGTTTGTGTTAAACCCGGTGGTGCTTGTTTTAAAATGGTCACAATGCAATCAGTGCAATTGTTGGTGTCATGCCTGCGCACTGTGTCAGTCTACACAACATTTTCATGAACCAATTCATTTGAACAAATAAATATGTTTCCAGATTTATGTTGTTTAAAACTTTGTTTATTTTTGTAAAAAATTCAAACAAAAAAAATTCAAACAATAAATATTTTTATGACTTGTGAATTTGATATAATAATTATATAAGTTTTTGTATTTATGTATAATAAAAAAACCTTTTTTATCCTAGCCAGGTTTTAGGTTTTTGGGTTGGGTTCGGCCGGGCCGGCTTTTAGGTACAACCCAATACATTTGTAAATTAATTTGTTTATGATTTTGAATCAGCTTTGAGCAAACTTATATATCATAATAATGTCATCTCTGTATGTCATCATTGTATTAGTTCTAGAATGAAACTGATGAAAACTCTATTAGATATGCTTTCCGCATCCTGTATGTGTGAGTAAATTTTTGAGACATCATTGAACACAAACAGGCTTAAGACCTGTTTGTGTTCAATGATGTCTCAAGAGCAGTTGAAATACCTTGTTTTTTGAATTGCTATTGCAATATAGCCTTACATTCCTAATGTCAATTTTTTGGTTATTGACTTTGTAAGGCGTGCTTTCATACCTAAATATTGATTTTATGCAGAAAAATAAATTACATGTGACTAAGTCTTACTATGACTTATTTTATGATTTTACCATTTAAAATTAAAAGTTTAAGTGAGCTGTTTAAACACCAATAGATTATCTAGAAAGGTTGGTGTTTATCTAGAAAAGTTGGTACACCACAGACGAGCTGGTGTTTGAGGTGGTACCCCAGAAAGAGTGTTTTTTTAATTTAAAAAAGTTTAAACTAAAAAAAAATTTTTTGAGCGTTTTTCATACTTTAAAGTATTCTTATTAAAATTACCAAAGTTTTATGCACTATAAAAAAATAAAACTTGATATTCGCGTTTCTAAGCCTTAATTTGTCAGTAAAGGAACAATTAAAAAATGTGTCAAGGGTTATTTATTGGTTGTGATTTTCAAAGCCGATTCTACAAATAAAATGAGGGAGAGGGAAGTGCGGAGCCTTAAAAAGTACACACCCATATAATCAACTCTAGTAATTTTGTTTATTTTTATCTTGAATTTTTTATTAGAAAATTTAATTAAAAATTATTTTTATCTTGAATTTTTAAGGTGTATTAGAAATATTATCAGATTTTTTGAATAAAACAGTTTAATTATGTTCTACTGTGTTAAATGAAGGATGACAGAGTGTATAAAACTGTTTAATATTGTTTCTACCAATATTTTTTTTAATGCCTTTTTTGTTTATTATTTACAAAGACAAAAGTTAGCATCATACAAATGTATGTAAATAAACCTTTTTTAAACCACAACCAACCCTCCTTAAAAAAAATAATAAAAATAAAATAAAATAAATGAGACAAGAATTAGATCAACTCAATTGCACTGTATTGGGTTATATATGACAATATGATGATTTAAAACAATTTATATTTCTTTTACAGTTTTTTAATCTTTATATTTTACTTTGTTTTTGATAAGGTATAAAAACAAAAAACAAAGCTTTGTAGGGGAGAATATTAGGAGTAATTCATGGTATCCCAGAGCTAGAATATACAAATAAAAAGATGCAAAATCTTTACCAAGTAATTACATACAGTTTTGTGTTAACTTTTTTCTGGTTCTTTGTGCAGATGTTAACATTAACATTTGGGGCTATCCATTAATTATTTCGGTAAAATAGGGGAGAAGGGGGCTCTGAGCATTTTTTACAATTGATGGCAAGGGGGAGGGCGGATGTCAAGAAAAGTTCATATCAGCAATGTTACATTTAAAAAAATTTAATTACTTTGAAAATAGTAAAAAAAAAGGATTTTTTTTTTCCATTTTGATTTTATTTTGAAGGTAGGCAGTAATCAAATGTTGAAGCAATTTTTTATTTTGTTAATTTGACTAATGTTTATACAGGAAAAATTACTTTAAAATTATTACAATTCTGTTAAAAATGTAAGTCTTGCTATAAAATACAATAAAAGTCAATTGGTGCAACAAATCTGTTTAAAATATTTTAAAAAACATTTTAAACAGTTAAAAATATTCTTTTAACTTATTTTTGAATTCAGTCTACTTGATTTGACTGAATTTAAAAACAAGTCAAGTTGATTTTTCTAAGTTCTAATGGTGAATCATTCTAGACTTTTGCACCAGAAATAGAAATAGAAAAAACTTATAGCAAATTCAAGTCAGATTTTTGGAATTTTAGTTAGGTTGCTGTTATTTCTTGTTGCTTTTGAATGTTTGACAACTTTAAAGTTGTTAGTAAAGTTTGAGCATGATAAGCCAAGAATGCATTGCTTCATTAATGCTTTTTATGCTTGCTGTTTGCATTTATTATACCTGATGCACGTGTATGCAAAGAGTCTAGCTTATCTGTTTTTTATTTTGGTAGGTTGAGGCAAAGATTTCCTCACTAGGTTAAAAGGAGTATAATAGTCAGCTGAAAAATGCATTCTGCTGCAAGAGATGTTAATAAATATCAATTTTAATAAAATATTCTTTATCTGCCACAAACTTTTTTATAAGCATTGGTAAAATAACTACTCATGTTTAGTATCAGGTCTAGGTTAATACCCAGAGGCAACATTACAGGTTGCCTCATTAACATTACAGGTGCCCTCACAACCACCCTAAAAAAAGGTGATTTTCAAAATGATTTTTTTATTTTACGCATTTAATTCGGTTGGTCATTGTTAAGTCAGTACTTTTGAAAAATTCACCCCCTCCCTCTTCTCTTTCCCATTTTGATTGTAGAACCGCCTCTGTTGATAACAAGGTATTTATAGCTCAAGGTGAAACATTAAATTGAAGTTGTAAGTAAAGTTCATTGTGTTTGGTTGTCTTAAGAGAGATTTTTCTGTACCAAACAGCATGGACTTTGTTTTACCAATTCCAAGACAAGGTCAGATTGGCACTGAGGGGCTTGGAGGAGACAGATAGGGCCATTATGGTAGCAAAAAATTAGCATAAATGAGTTAAACCCTTAATCACATAGTTTTTTGTTAAAAGGGTATAGGAAATTTCTAATAATGTCAATGCAAGTTTCCATATCTTTGACTATGACACTTTCCATATCTTTGACACGTTTAATAAAATAAATCCATATGCAAGGTTTTAAAAATATACTAATTCTAAAATGCCGCGTCACACCACTTTATTTTCTGCACATTGCCATGCTAAAAAAGGATTTGTGGTTATGGTAACCAAATACATTATGTATTTTATTGTTTAGAGAACATAGCCATTAACAGAAAATTAAAAATTTAATTTTAGTTTTATAATATGTTATATATTTTATTTTATTATAATATAAATTTTTTTAAATCAAAAAAAAATTTTTCTTTGAAAAAAAGAAATTTTTTACATTAAATCATTTTACTGTATTTAAAGCTGAACTCCAATTATATTTCACTATATATTTTTTATAAATACAAAAACTGAAATATAATGTTTACTAAGAAATGATAATAATAAGAAATAATAGTATATAAAATAATAGTATTTAAAATAATAATATCTCCAGCCCGATTAAATATTTCTGAGCCCTTCAGGTTGGGAAGCACTGGGTTTTTATAAGCCAGTGCTTCCCAACCAGAGAAGATAGATGCATAGAGGATAAAACCAGAAACAACGAGTGCTTATTATAATAATTATTATTACGTTTTGAATGTCTTAATAAAATAATCATCTTAAAGAGGGGGGTGCGAAAATAATTTTGCATAGGCACATTTTTATCCTCTTCAGGGCCTTGGGTTTATATAAATTATATATGCATAACTCAATAAAAACACAAAATTTAATGTTTTTTTTATTAAATTAATTTTTTAGCTTCTTGCTCAAGATAATTTACTCTACTACCAATAAATAATAATATAAGGCTGCTTTACAATGTCTTTGTATATACTATTAAACATTACATATTTTAATCGTAGAAATAACTATGTTTATTGTATTGTTTTTGCAAAATTGATGCATATTAGCAATAATTAGTTATTATTAATTTGTATTTTTACGTGTTTTATTTGTGTTTTTATTTATAGTGAGTTGTATCTTTATTTATAGTGAGGCCCAAGACCATTAGACATAGCAGGGGCCTGGAGGGAAATACCCCCAACCTCCTTCGCCAGTCAAACCCTGCTCCAAGGTTGAGTATTATCTCGTTTTTTATACATTTTAAGATTTCTTTCATTTTGGATGAAAGATGTGATTCTATAATAAATATATCTTTTCCAGGAGCGTATATGACTGGTGTCACCAGCATAAATAACAGATTTTGAATGTTTTAAACAAAAGTCATTAAAGTAAATAACAAATAGTAAAGAGACCAGTTTTCATCCCTGATGTACACCACATAAAAGTTTACTTGTTTCAGATACTGCGTTTTGAAAACAAATTGTTCGAGATCTGCTAAATAGTTAATCTATAGAGGGTTCTCTTGACGTTTTATAAGCTGTTGATATAGGGGAAGATAAAAATCGCCCCAAAAATTGTTAGTTTTAAACAATATCTAATTTTTATTAATTTTTAAAAATTTATTAGTTTAAGAGCTAATGGCTCGCTCCTAACATTTATTTGGTTCATTCCTACCTGTGTAAATCTACTTATCCTGTATTTTTCTCACTTTTAGTTGATATAACCATTTTTCAAAAAATTGGCTGACTCCTATTTATTTTCTGTTATTTTTTTACATGAGTAATATATTGGTTCAATTAGTTCAAACAATAAATGTCATTAAATGTCGATTACTTAAATTTATAAGTTATTATTTTACATATTCTATATAACTTACAAAATATAATTTTATAAGTCAAAATAATTTTTTTTTAATTTTTTTAGGAACCAACAACCGGTTTAGATTCTGCTACAGCCTTCAACTTAATTCATACTTTAAAAGTATTGGGTAAAAAAGAAAATCGCTCAATTTGCATGACTATTCACCAACCCTCCAGTCAAGTTTTTTTTATGTTCGATAAACTCATGCTTATGTGTGACGGAAGGGTTTGTATATAAATCATAAAAGCATAAATTTTTTTATTTTTAGATGATTTCATATTTTATTTGTTATTTTTATGGAAGCATTTGGAGAATGGTTAAAGTCTAATGAAATTAAGTACAGGTTTATCAGAAAAGTTTTTTCTGCAGGATCATTTAAAACATTAGTAATTCGATCAGCCACAGCTAATAAGATCATAAATTTTAAAAGAAGCTACAAGTTAATCTCATGAATATTATTGAATATGTTTTTGTTAATTATGCGATTAGCTTTTAACGCATTATTTGAATTATCTAAGGTATAATACAGTAGGAACTTATTGGCAATTTGTCTCAAGTTGCACTCAAGAAAGTTATTTGCACCATTATTTATAAAGTTTTGTTTTAGGTTGCATTTTATGGAAAAAATTCTGACGTTTTGCCATTTTTTGATTCAATTGGAATCCCTTGCTATTTAAATTGGAATCCTGCAGATTTTTTATGTAATTTTTAATTTACTACTATATCATAGTCATCATAAATAATCTGTCAACTTGATATCTTAAGTCTGTTTACTTGATATCTCAAGTATGTTTACTTGATATCTCAAGTCTGTTTACTTGATATCTCAAGTATGTTTACTTGATATCTCAAGTCTGTTTACTTAATATCTCAAGTATGTTTACTTGATATCTCAAGTCTGTTTACTTGATATCTCAAGTATGTTTACTTGATATCTCAAGTCTGTTTACTTGATATCTCAAGTTAATTTGAGCTGTTTTTCCATTTATGTATTGGTTTTAATTATAAACAATCTTTAAAAAGTATGTTTTTGATCTAGCTCCATAAACAACTTTAAGTATAATATTATTTGTATTAATTTAAATAAATAAAAATGTAATAAATTTACTTTTTTTATTTTATTAGTACATAAAGATATATTTATAATTATTTTTTTTAAACTTATATTTTGCTAATGGCACACCGTTGCTAGTAAAACAAAAGAAAAAGATTTTATCCAAGTAAAAATAGGACCAGATTATCTTTTTTCTTTAGTAGTAAGAGATTGCCGATTCAGAGGGATTTTTTATTTTCAACCATATTTTCAACCATAAATTAATATTAATATAGGGTTCAATGTTAACCATATTGTATATAAATTATTTAGATAAGAAATAATTTTTTATTTTAAAAAATTGATTTTTTAAAATAAGTGTTAATTTTTATTTCTTGTTATGAAATATTACGAAAAATTCTTGCATGACGTCACAGGTCACATGATTTTCAGATTGGTCTTATGATATGCTTAGTGCGCATGCGTCGATTTGTTTATTTGCTTGTAGATGCTGTAGAATATGAAGAAGCTGTTACCGTAGTATTTGTATTAGCATTACCAGAAGTAGCTGATACGCATATATTCACATTTACATTGGAGTTTTGCATTTTTATATACACAAGAAAATTATTTAACTAATTTTTTCTTGTTTTAATGCGCATGCGCCTAATTTTTTAATGAAATCTGGATCTATTTGAGATCTTATGCATAGTAGAAGCATTGTCCTATCAGTGCAGCATAGCTCCCAGATTGTCCAACTTGTGCATCACCAGAGTTGAGTGTCACTACCATTCTTCTACCACTACCAACGCTAGGCATACTTTCAGATGAATTAAAGTTTCTATAAAATGAAATTGTAGTTGTTGGACCAATTATACTATTCGATTGATAAAGTAATCCTGATGTCTCATTATTAAATGAGTTTACATTAGATCCATTCCATGAAGAGAGATAAAAATCTTCTAAACCTGATGAAGCGTAGATGCATCGACTGTTAACATCATATCCAGAAAATGTAGTATATCCATTATTATTATAAGGTGTCCAAGGTTGAATGACAGAGTTAGTATTGGTAGGAGCGCCATATCCATCATAGATGCGAACTCTAGATTCCCACCAGTTTCCAGATCCTCCAATTACATGCATTCTAATGTATTTCAAATACACTCCGTTTCCATTATCCATAACATTCATTAGCATATACTCACTACCATAAGTTGTATTTACATATCTAAATGTTGTTGAGTACAACTTAATGGATGAGATGGATCGAGGTATTAACGGATTAATACTAGTTAATGTTTGTTGTAACGATGAAGTTCTTGTGATAAAAGGTTGTAACCAAAAGGTCACTGAATTTCCTGTTTTATTGTATAATTGTATATTCAAACTTGATGTAAAAGGAAGATCAAATGCAAAATATCCTCCTAATGCACTAGTACTAAATACATTACATCCTTGTAAAGAGTTTGCATAATAAGGTCCACCAAGTGGTGCAATTATTAAATCACAAGCTAAAGCTGTATTATTAATACCTACCCCATCTGTTACAATAGAATCATTACCTATGCAAAGTACATTGTCAGCATATATTTTTAAAAACAAGTTACCTGGTACAGTATTAGGTGCAATAGTAGATCCTGTAAATGCAATCCACAGTTTTCTTAGAATTCCTGAACTACCACTATAGCTAAAAATAGTATATGATCCTGGAGTTGCATAGAATGCTTGAGATTTTTGTCCAAAGCATATTAAACTTGTATTGGGAATGATATCTAAACTTTGATTTTGCATATCGTCAACATAGCTCTTTGTAACTGCATCCTGTGCATCAGTAGGATTAGCTACATTGATGAGTTTGTTTGTATTTAAATTTATATTAGCAGTTGCGGGATTATAACCATCGGTTCTTAGATACATACTGCTAGAAATCTGATTATTATCTACATAATGCTTTGTAGCTGCATCTTGTGCATTAGTAGGATCAACTACATTAATCAATTTATGTGAATTCAAATTTATATTAGCACTCATACTATTAGCTCCATCTATTTTTAGATAGGAACTGCTAGAAATCTGATTATTATCTACATAATGCTTTGTAGCTGCATCCTGTGCATTAGTAGGATCAACTAAATTTATTATTTTATGTGTATTTATATCAACGTCTGAAGTCGCTTTATTGTCTACATTAATATTAAGATTTAAACTGCCACCTGATGTGCTACCAAAAGCAGATAATCCATTCATTGAACTACTACCGAATATATTAATACTCATTTTATATACTCATTATTATTTAATTTATTTTTATAATATATTTAAGATTTACCAAAGTGAATCGATGATGCTTTGAAATTCTTTTCCATCATTTAGTTTTTTCAAGACATAGAGACACAAGTGCCCGCAATAGGAAGTATTTCCAAACTGAACTTGTTCAGTATTGTAGTAAACAGGACTGTGTAAGTATTGAACGAGTTCAACTGGAGGTGGTAGACCATAAGAGTCAAAACTTAGTTTCATATCTCCGTCTTTATACCAGCAAATCCAATGAAACCCACCTGTACTTGAATCTCCAGTATTTAATATTCCACATTCTTTTTTTTGTGTATTTTTAGATCCCTTTTGAGATCCATAGCTTCTAGGTAATTCATCTCTTACAAATACACCTCTAAAATTTTTAATTTTTAATTTTTTTGCTGCTTTTATTAACTGAAAGTTTGTTAAGGGTACATTTGGCAATATAATTCCTTCAACATTGATATGTTTGTCCATTTTTATTACTTTATTAGATTTTTTTAGATCTTTTTAAGATATAAAAATAACTTACCTGTGTGTTTGCCTGCCTGCTTGCCTGTTTATTTCCAATCAATCTGAAATGAAAAGTTGGGTTTGAATTCCGAAGGAACCAATGTTTTACTCTCTTTTAATTTAAAATGTCCATATGCTAATGTGTGAATACCATCTTCTTGAATTACTCTTTTATCATCTTCTGCACTTAATGCTATTTTGTTTATTTCTTCTGTATAAACATCATGTAAATGAGATCTTATGACATTCATTTTTCTCATCTGATCTTTCCTATTCATAAGGCAATCTTTATAATCTTCATGTGTAATATAATTTTTTACTATATTTCTCTTTACTCCTTTACATCTCTTTTTATCTTCTTCATCTATTTTGTAAGAATACAACTTTGATCTGAGTCCTATAAATTCCGTAATTTGTTTTCCTGCTGATTCATCTTTAAACATTCCTATTACTTTCTTATTTACACCTACTTTAAATCCATTTTGAACAGCTGGATGATCTTTATTAAATTCACTTGTATCAAATTTACTTTCAATATCATTTGCAATATCTGCATAAAAGTCTTTTGTTTTTATTTCATAGATTAATGAATCTGTATCTGTATATAATAGTTTAGCTTTATCTTTATATTTATTTTTTATGTAATCATAATGAAATTCGTACATTAGTGTTTTGCTCAAATCTAAAATACACATACCCAAGTAAATAGGCTTATTATATACAAGTTTTGTTCTTTTCATATGTATTGCAATTAAATTTTCATCAAATATCGTTCTACTTTCATAATTTGGTTTTGATGATAATTTAATAGCTTCTTCTCTTTTTGTAACTAATCTTACATCAACTCTGTTTTCAATGTTCTCCATTGTCTTTCCAAATACTGAATTGTTCATAAGTTTGAAAAAGTCCTTTTCAAAATCATTTGTTGCTTTTGTTCTTAGATTTGTATTGAGTTCAATGTATTTACTCAACCATGCACTTTCTTCAAACTTTATTCCTCTGTGAATTTTTGTAATTTTCATTCCTAATCTTTCATACAGTTTTAAGTTTTCATAGTGAATGATATAATTTTTCTTATGATTTAAATTAGGTATTAATTTATCAACTTTGTCTATTTTTAATCTTTCAGGGGCTAGAGGATAATCATTATGAACATCATGTAAATGTTCAGGATATTCTAAATCGACTTCTAATATGCAAGAAGTAGATTTCCAATTTTTTAATTCTTCTTCATTCATCCATTGAAATCCATGTGTTGGAAGTGGTTTACTCATTGCCCATCCATATAAATTGTTAGCATCTAAATATTGTATGTAAGTAGATTCTTTACTTTCATCATAATTTTCAATATATTTATTGTTAGCAGTTCCTAACCTGTTAGAAACCATACTAATTCCACCTCTTATTCCTTCCTTTATCATTAAGATCATATCATAATCACTTAATAATTCTAATTTTACTTCTGTTATTTTCAACGCAGCGTCCCAAGCTAATCCTGGTGCTGTATAGTACCAAGCAGGATCTAATTTGTAATTGTTAAAACAGACATCTCTAAAATTTTCAAAGACATCAGCTAGTAGTAATACATCAGATTCGTTATATAAATTATGATAATCTCTAAATGTTTCACAATTAAACTCTTTCCATACATTTTGAGCATGTAAATAATCTTCATCACTTATTCCTTCATCATTTAATCTTGAATAAAATGATTCTTTTGGTGGTAATTGTGTTTCATTTAATTTATCAATAGAATCAACCCATTCATAAGGATAAACACCTTTTCTTAACAATAAATTGAGTTTATTTCCAGAATAGTATCTACTAATATTTTTACATTGATCTTTTGACAAATTT